CCGATCGCGCGAGTCTCTTCAAGTACGTCGTCAAGTCCGTCGCCACAAAATACGGCATTACACCCTGCTTCATGGCCAAGCCCAAACAGGGGCTCCCCGGAAACAGCGGTCACATGCACGTCTCCATCGTCGACAAGCAGGGCAAGAACCTCTTCGCCCGCGATACCCCGGATCCGAACCCAAAGTGGGCCGATATTGCCGGCCTCTCTGACCTGGGCCGACACTTCCTCGCCGGTATTTTAGAGGGCTTGCCGGATGTCATGCCCCTGCTCGCGCCGACCATCAACTCATACAAGCGCCTCGTCGAGAACTTCTGGGCCCCCGTCACTGTGTCCTGGGGTCTGGAGCACCGCGCCGCCTCCATCCGCCTGATCGCGCCGCCCACCGCCAAGCCTGGCGCCACGCGCTTCGAGGTCCGCGTCAGCGGCGCCGACACAAATCCCCACTTCGTTCTTGCTGCCGTCCTGGCCCTTGGCTGGCGCGGTGTCGAGAAGAAGCTGGAAATCTCTGTTCCGCCCCTTGGGAAGGGCGAGGAGGTTGGTTCCGGTTCTGACCAGGGCGTGCGCCTCGCCAAGAGCCTCAAGGAGGCCAATGACCGCTTCACATGTAAGGAAAGCATCGCGCGCGAAGTGTTCGGTGACGACTTTGTTGACCACTTTGGTGGCACGCGCGAGCACGAGATCAGGCTGTGGGAAGAGGCCGTGACTGACTGGTGAGCATCCTGTCCTGCCTGCGCTTGGCATGCACTGTAAGCTGTGGCACCCGTAGATTGCTAACAATTTGCCATAGGGAGATGAAGCGATACATCGAGACGGTTTGAGATCGCTTTGCGGGCGTCGTGGCGGGGCTTGTTTTTTTCTCTCTGCTGGGCTTCGTGTTCGGGTTATCAGGGCTGGTGTCACAAACAGCAATTGATGTGATGCGCCTCTCTAGTGATGTACAATGGACAAGAGATACCCTTCCACTAAACATGACGCTCCACTTTCCTCATATGTCCGATCTCGCCCGGACGGCGGCGACGGACAGGTGACCGAGTCTGCATGTGCTGGTGGATGTGAGCGTTCTCCTTGCATCAGGCAAAAGGCCATGGGCGGGTTTTGATTGGGCTCTGAGAAATTCTTGCGTGGAGTCGAAGCTCGGGGGCCGCTGCTTCTGAAGCCGTTTGGACCAGCCGCGCTGGATACCATCTCGTTCGGCTGGTAATTCGAACGACCCGTTGGTCCTCCAGTCCAAACGCCAGGCAAGGATGTGACGAGTCCTGCATCTGGGCATCGTAAGGCGATGTGATTTGGTCGGACCAATTCCCGGCTGTCTTAAAATTGGATGAGCAGCCCGCGCCGGGGGGATAAGGCCACTCTCTGGATCCTGCTCTCCTAGATTCCGAATTAATACGGACTTCAGGTCTCAGTGCGAAAGTTTCTCGTGTCAAGTCCAAGGCATGGCCTCCAAAGGATACCTTTTCCGCCGAGTTCCTCATCCCCGTGAGCCATTTTCCCATGATCCTGCCACAGTCGGCGTGGCAATTCGCCTTGGGACCACCGGCTGCTGCGGCCAAAAACGTTGACCACGCCTCTGCCCCTCTGACAGCGTGGCAGGCCCCCTGCAAGCGCGCTGGCCAGTACCCTAAAATGGCCAGTGCCTTCGCTTCGGGCCGGGCGCCAGCAGGCATTGTGCAGGGAGGCCACACGAGGGCTCTGGGGGTCAATGGGGGGTCGTACAGGGCCTTTACAGCTGAGATGACGACGATCCGCGCACGAGAGAAACCGAAATGCATTTTATTTCGTTTCATTCCCCTCTCACGTTGCGTGGAGGCCTTGTCGTTGGTCCACTGACCCCCCTTGTAACCTTCGGGGAAAAGGCTAGCGCGGCGTAAATCAATGGGGAAATGAGAAAAATTATCGATGGCCGAGCCCAATAGCTCGAAGACAATTTGATGGGGGTGTGCTTTTTGGGGGGTGATTGTGTTTCTGGAGGATCGGATGGAGAGCAAGGGAGCCAGCGAGTGGTGATGATGATGAGTGATGGTGTCTGGGAAAAAGGTGGGCTTGACTCAGGCATAAAGTACGAGCTTTTCCTACTTGGCCTCTCTCCTTCGAGGGCAATGTGTGCTCATCCCCCTTTCATGTTCGCTGTTCGTCCATGTTGTGTGAGTGGTCTGTTGTGTCGGCATCTGTGAAGAAAAGGTTATCTTGCAGCCGATCATCCCCAAGAACCAGGGAGCTCTCCATCAAATGTTGGGGTCCCCCACGTGCAGATCCTCCCAACGGTCGTCTTGCAAACACTACATTGCCCCGTAAGGCGAAGCACAGGCAGGCTGCGAGATATTTTCAAAACAAACACTCCTCACCCGCACTGCCGTCCCCATGGGCTCATATGCCCGCACGGCGTGCCCCGACGCCTCGGGGCAGGGGACGGCCGACGACGATTCAGACGCGAGCGATTACTCTTCTGTCTCCACCATCGACGACCTCCCCCCGATCCGAGCATACGGACACACCTACCACGGCAGCGGCACCATCCTGACGCCTAACGATGAGTCTGAGCGTGCCCGCCTCGAGATCCAGCACAGCCTCTTCCAGCTCTGTCTCGACGGCGCACTCACTTCTGCGCGCCTGCCGGTGCCAACAGGCCGCCCACTGTCCATCCTCGACATTGGTGCTGGCACAGGGGCTTGGGCGATAGCCATGGCAGCGCAGCACCCAACGGCGTCTATCCGTGGAGTTGACGTCTCAGCAGCACTACTGCCGACCGCGGTTCCATCGAATGTGGTCTTTGAAGTGAGCGACGTCAACGAGCCGTGGGCCGCTCAGCCGCTGAATCTAGACTTTGTCCACGTGCGTAATCTGGTCGGCGGCGGTGTGCGCGACTTCAAGGCTCTCTACGCCCAGGCTTTCCAGCACCTCCGGCCGGGTGGCCAGATTGAGGTGGCAGAAGTGCGATCACGCTGGTTCGACTTTGAGGACGACGGGCCAAGCGCGTCTCAAGAGGCAGAAAGTGAGCTGACCATGGAGGGCGCGGTCATGCCGGCGTCGCGAGAGTTCGAGATGGGCGTAGTGGAGTACTCGGAGCAGCTGGGCATCGATTTCGATCCGATTCCCAAAGTCAGTGGTTGGTTGGAAGATGTGGGTTTTGAGAAGGTCATGGAGAAGTCAGACTTGGTGCCGATTCGGGCGTCTGGGGTGGATGAGCGGATGAAAAGGAAAGGAGCACAACTGGCACAGCTCATTGACTATGGACTCGAGTGCTATGCACTCGCCTTGTTCGGGAGGTGTGGGCGGTCGGAGAGCGATACCCGGGACTTGATGCAGAGAATCCGGCGTGAGCAAGCTGGTCTGGGCGTTCGGTGTTTTGGAAAGGTAACCTTCGTGACGGCACGCAAGCCGATGGATTGATGCCGACTGTCGGCGAGGTGAGATGCCATGCTGAAACATGGCTGCGAGTACGCTCAGAGAGTGGTGGTTCTGACCTATTGTTGGACAGAGGGCCAGGGTGGATGGCCTCGATAATCCAAGTAAGATAAGGTAGCAGCTAAAGAACGGTGGCCGGCGGCCAACTTGCGATCTTGCCTTGAGTTGATCGTCCAAGATCGGAGGCATCAAGCCACCATATTTGAAGCTGAAATCGATGACATTTGGATGTGAGCAATGGATTCAACGGATGACTGAAAGCCCATCGCCCATCTCGACATGACTAAGGAAGGTAAGGTACCTACCTACCTACCAGTACCTTGGCAGATACATTAGATATCTGGCAAGAACATTGATCGGCTGCTGGCTCTTGCAGGTGGCATCAAGCGGTTCTTTGACAGCACCGCACTCGTTCGTTCCGCTCAGGCACTAGGATCGGGCAATCAAGCCTGGGATATCACGGTGTCCAGTTCTTACTTGGCAATCGCGACCTAACCCCGCCAAGCGTGCCCAGTGGCACTTGACACTTGAAAAAAAGCTTGGCCTTCGATGCCCAGACGCCAATGCTGTCTTTGTGGGTCGCTGTTTCCGTCAAGTCGGAGAACTCGATATCTTTTGATATTTCTGCTTTCTCGCCGCAATTCTCCTGCTCACATCAACATTCGTCCACCAACCTGTATCATGAGAAATGATGCTCAACGCCTCCTGAAGAGGCGCGAGGTCATTGTTGCCCCACGGAGATGTTCCTAGCACAGGGTCCGAGCTCCTTATCTCCCACCTTGGGAGCCAACCCCCAACACCACAGCGGCCGCTTGTCACAGGATCAACCAACGGCAGACTTTCTCACAGCCATCTCAGAGAGCTTCGCATTTCGTACTGACAACCGCTGATCAGGTCAATCATGTACAGCTCTTATCTTGACCTCGCCGTCGGCCAGTCCAATCAGCCCCTTCCGCATCCTCCTGCTTGGTGCGCTCCGTTGGCCTCATCTGCTGGTGGTCATTGGCTGGAGGTCACCCCTGACAGAGCTTTGAGGTTAGCCTCAATTCTATGACCGCTCAAATCTCTTGGCCTTATCTCTACCCCGACGACAACCTCTTCTGCGTGTCGACAATCTTCTGACTAAGGGAACATACCTACTGCCTTGCCAGGCGCTGGACCCTTTTCTCCACGCCGCCATCGGCCGTCGGACCTCCCACATGGCTGTAAGCTGAAAACATGCCTAACATGCTGCCCTGCCTGGCCTTCGGCCATCTTCATGATAGCCCGGCCTCGAATACGCCGCAAACCAACCCCCCGTGTTCCATGTCTCCCCGCGCACCAAATGCCGGGGTGGCCCTCGTTAGCCACCCCCATGGTCCTCCGGCACGCGACTCGTCTACCACGTTTGCGGCAGCCCAAGTGCAATGCAGCTTCATGTGAAACTTTGAAGCTCTGCCGGCCGGCGGCCACCTTGATCCCACCACCGCCAACCCGCAGGTAGCACATATATAGATCCTAAGGCCCCCGACGTTGTGGAGACCTGGAAACTGCGAGTAGCACTTGATCTCAACAGCACTCGACTCGGAGAGCCCAGGAGCTCCCATAGACACCATGGTTACCGCAGCGCTTAATCAGGGCGTCGGCTACGGCATCGTCCTTGGTGTTGGATTCCTCTTTGCCATCGGCATGATCGCCACCACCTATGTCCTCAAACGGTACAACAGAGAGTTGCAGACGTCCGAGATGTTTACCACCGCTGGCCGAACTGTCAAGTCTGGTCTTGTTGGCTCTGCTGTCGTTTCATCTTGGACCTGGGCAGCCACCCTTCTTCAATCTTCTGGTGTGTGCTACCGATATGGCGTTTCCGGTCCATTCTGGTACGCATCTGGGGCCACTGTCCAAATTCTCCTGTTTGCGACCATCGCCATCGAGCTCAAGAGAAGGGCGCCCAACGCCCACACATTCCTCGAAGTCATCAAAGCTCGTTACGGAACCCCTGCCCATCTCGTCTTTATCGTCTTTGGCCTCATGACGAACATCCTCGTCACCTTGATGCTGATCGTTGGAGGCGCCGCAACTGTGAACGCCCTGACTGGCATGTAAGTCATCGAGCCTACCTTGCAAGCACCGGAGATACTGATGCTGAAAGGCACACTGTGGCTGCCATCTTCCTTTTGCCTGTTGGTGTTGTGGCCTACACCATCGTCGGAGTAAGTGGTAGCAAGTCTGAGCGACATAATCAACCATGCTAACATCTGATAGGGTCTCAAAGCAACGTTTCTCACAGACTTTGTCCATACCTTCATTCTCCTCATTATCATCATCATCTTCTCTCTCACTGCTTACGCCAGCTCCGATGTTCTGGGCAGTCCCTCCAAGGTTTACGACCTGCTCATCGAAGCTGCCTCTCGCCACCCCGTCTCTGGAAACGCTGAAGGATCCTACCTGACGATGCGATCCCAGGGTGGTGTTGAGTTCTTCGTAATCAACATCGTTGGCAACTTTGGCACCGTCTTCCTCGATAATGGCTACTATAATAAGGCTATCGCTGCTTCGCCTGTACACGCTCTCCCCGGCTACATCATCGGTGGTCTTTCTTGGTTTGCCATTCCTTGGCTCACAGCTACCACCATGGGACTCTCTGCCCTTGCTCTCGAAAGTAACCCCAGGTTTCCCACTTTCCCCGAGCGCATGACTGAAGCTGAGGTCTCTGCTGGCCTCGCCCTGCCCTACGCTGCGGTTGCACTTCTCGGCAAGGGTGGTGCTGTAGCCACTCTGCTCATGGTTTTTATGGCTGTTACATCTGCCAGCAGTGCTGAGCTCATTGCCGTTTCTTCCATCTTCACCTACGATGTCTATCGCACGTACTTCAAGCCCGATGCTTCTGGTGCTCGCCTCATCCACTTCTCTCACGTCGTGGTCGTCTGCTATGCACTAGTCATCAGCTCTGTTTCCGTCGGCTTGTTCTACAATGGCATCTCTATGGGCTATCTCTACGTTCTTATGGGAGTCCTCATCTCGGCCGCCGTTCTGCCTGCCACCCTGACTCTCATCTGGCGCGGCCAGAACAAGTGGGCTGCAACACTCACGCCCATCTTTGGTACCATCCTTGCCATCATTGCTTGGCTTGTTACGGCCAAGAAGGATTGCGGCGTCCTCGATGTCACTTGCACCGGGTCCAACACCCCTATGCTAGTCGGCAACGTCGTGGCTCTTCTTTCTCCTCTGGTCCTTATCCCGATCTTCACCCTCATTTTCGGTGTCGACAAGTACGATTGGCAGTCCATGATGGAGATCCGCAAGGGCGATGATCATGATCTCGCTAATGCCGCTGGTGTCGATTTGGAGGAGACTCCCGGTGGCCACCAGGAGACAAGCGAGGAATTTGAGCGCGAACAGGCCATGCTTCGTCGCGCGTTCAAGATCTCAGTCACCGCCACAGTTATCATGTACGTTCTCATGTCTACGCATTCGCGGTACCCGGCTAACGTGTGTAGGACTCTTGCCATGCTCATTCTCTGGCCTATGCCCATGTACGGTTCTGCCTACATCTTCAGCAAACCGTTCTTCACTGGCTGGGTCGTTGTCGGCATAATGTGGATATTCTGTTCCTTCTGCGCTGTTGGTCTCTATCCGATTTTCGAGGGCCGCGCGACCCTGATTCACACGGTGAAGAGCATGCTCGGTGGGAAAAAGCCCACGAGACACGTGATCACCGAGGGCCAGGGAGATGGCGAGGGTATTTCAGGCACGGCGACGCCCGATGACCACGAGAAGAAGAGGATTGAGGGTCAGGAGAAGGCTGTAACTGAGCGATAGGCTCTTACTTTCTACTTACATCCCCCATCGTTACTGTGCTCTAGGAGATACCCCATCACTGGGGGTAAGCGTGTTTAGCTTTTGATACCAGACCATTCCAATTCAAAAGAAACTGTTTCTTTGCTTGTCAATTTTCGGATTTAATTCTCATCGCTTGAATGAACCCACTTGTGACGACAGTTATCGGCGCTGTAGCCTGACATTGACCCCAGTTTGTCTCATAAACCATCCATTCTTTACAACCCATTCCTGGTTAGGATTGACCAATTCAATACGATATCGTCTGATCAACGTAGGAATCAATTTGGAAATTTCCAGATTTGCAATGTGCCGCCCACCGCAGATCCGGCTTCCAGCGCCGAAGGAGAGCTCGGCATCGTTCATCTTGACGAGTCGCTTCTCGTACTCTTCGGTACTCTCTCCCGGACTCTGTAGCCATCTTTCAGGCCTGAACTCGCCACTGTCCTCACCAAAGACCACCGTCCGGTTGACGATGTACGGGTTCATCCCGACCATGGAACCGGCCGGTACAAGAGTTCCATCAGGCAACGGCAGGCCGCCCGCGGGTACGTACCGCTCTAGATGCATGCCCACACCGGGATGAAGTCTCATGGACTCACGAATGACTGCGTTCAAATATGGAAGGGTGCGGGACTTTTTGTAAGAGGCGGGGTAGTCATCTGGTAGGTCCGCGGCCAGTACTTCCTCTTCAAGTCGAGTCCACACGCTGGGATGCTTGAGGCTGAAGTAAATCGCGGAAGACAACGATATGGCTGTTGTGTCAGCGCCTGCGATAAGGTTGATGAGGAGATATCTGCTTGCTGTCAACCTGGTATTTCTCTAGACTTTGGGGACGTAGAACTCACGATTGGATCTGTCCATCGCAGACAACTTCCGGGTATAACTTTTGCGCCTCGATAAATCCATCCAGAAAATCGGGCATGCCTGGATCGTGTGTGTCCTTGTCGTTCCCGGCAAGTCGGTTGACCAGATGGCCGCGCGCAATAGCGTTGGCTGTGGTGAAGGGCGCTTTCGAGATGAGCTTTAGCAGCGGGTTTTGGGCACCGGCAAAATCTAATATGGGAATCTGGCCGACGACTGCGAAGTAGTTCATCGCCATTTCCGAATCAGCGAGGGTGCCGTCAAAGTCACGGCCGTGCTTCATGTATCCGAAGGGCTGGCTGAAGGTGATGTCGCCGATGACGTCCCACGCAACTGAAATCTTGGTCAGCGAAAGCCCCGGTTTCTCGGCGTCAAGGCTGGGTACTGACAATACAGAAACCATCGCTCGAGCTGACACGCTGCTCCTGCGTTCGGCCCATTGACGAAGCGCTCGTCTAACTGGGCAAGAAACTGGGAGATGGCCTTGTCGACATGCTTCTCCATGGCCAGCGCACCGGCCGGCGAGTATAGCCTCCCGATTGGCTTTCTCACACGCGCGTGGTCTTCTCGGTCTGATAAGCCGAAGACGTTGAATATCGGTTTACCGGCAGAGTTTCTTGTCGAACCGCCATGATAGAACTCGGTCTACTCCGGCGTGTTAACGGCCCATGACAAGCAAGCTGTTGTGGCGTGTGCCAACGGAAGACATGGGAGGAAGACGGTAAGGGATAGTCACCTTGACCCAATCATCCTGATACTTGTAAATTGTCTTGATCAAAGAAGGATCTTTTAAACTGAGTAGGTTGGGTCCGATTCGAACAACTGGACCATGCTTTTCGTGGAGACGTGCAACAACCAGATGCGAATCAAGGTTCAAAACACGGTAGAATCTCCAGAGATTGGTCCATCCTGACGTCGCACAGGCGTGATCACATCAGCCACTTGGTCAGTCTGAATGACAAACTCGGTAGCACACACCTGCAAGATACGGCCCTGGGTATTTCTTCAGCGGCGACGTCGTGTACGCCCATACACACCAAGTGACCCAAGCTAAGAAGACGAGGCTCGCCACATGCAGAACCTTCTGTGGCAGGATATCCGGCAGATTCAACGACGACATTGGAAGACAAGATAAACAGCCACGAGTCGGGGAACAAGAGGTGTCGCAAAGGAGCGCCGATTCAGACCAGGTCGGCTGGGTCAATTGATCAAAAAAGTGATTTCCCTCTCCTTCATATGGTCCACATCTTCACCTGGTTGCATCAAACCCCTGTTCTGCATCTGCACCTCGAGACCAATGCGATCGATGTTCCTTGCACAATAGGCAACGGTCCGTGTTCCCCGTGATGCGTTGATTCGCCAGCTCCACAGAGAGGCGAAGAGGGCCAAGGCCATCCACTATCGCTAAAACGCGGGACGAGATCGCGAGTCGGCTGCCTTGTTGGGCTCCTGGAGTTTCCTGAGCCCTCTCCCCGCATGAGCAGAACATAATCAGTCGGCCGCTGGATGGCCTTCACAGAAATCGAGTCAGTTGATTGCATCATGTCAATTTGCATCCGGGCGGGCAATGAATTTACTTCTCAGGTCAACGGCACTGGGTCTTACCGATCTGAAGGGGGCTGAGGCGAATCTGGCTTGGACAGCTCGATGGCATCCCTTCAGCTGTGGAGGACCTTGTGAAGGCAAAGTTGGATGGCCAATACAGGGGTTCCAACCCGCATCCTCCAGCCCAGATCTTGGCGCGGGCCTCCTTTCAGATCGGTCAGTGGTCTTGTGGGCTTGTGTTGCCCTTGAGTGTAGGGTCTGTGGGACAGCTGCCGATGCCTCGCTTGTGATCGTCGCCAAGTGGTCCTCCTCCCTTTGTAATGATCCTTATCTCTTTGCTCAGTTCATGTTGCGCCTCCCCATCACGAACACCTCACCCGAGTATGTTCTCGCGGGCGCGCAGACCTCAAGCCAGTAAAGATGATTGGAGGGGAGGCCCCGCGGGTCCTCGCCATGATGTGGGCGGTATGTATGCGTTTCGTGTTGGTCTTTGCCCCCTGTGCCGCTCTGCCGTGAGCAGCATCCTGACTGGTGCATTATATCATGGACTCTTGGACTCACCTTGGCTAACTTAGTCCGCCTTGATAGTTGACGGTCGTCGTCTGCGTTTTTCTTCTTCTTCGACTGTACACTCGAATCCTCATATGACGCTCAGTCGGAGTTGATGACCACATGTACTTCTGGAGCTGGGTTGGTCTCGCTTGGCCGCCATCAGGACCGGATTATCAACTTTCTCCGTCGAAAGCTTCGTTACTGGCAATGGTGTTGAAACGGGCCGGATGCTGAAGGGTGAAATCGCAGGTATTCCTATTTCTTCACAACCTCTTCCTGCACATCTCGGCAAACTATGGATTCGGAAGAGATCAACACACCCTATCTCTCAATGATGCGGCAACAGCGCACAAATGGGAGCTAGTCGGCCAGACATTCATCATTCTCGGCATGGGAATGAGCAAGATGTCTCTTGCTCTGTTTCTTCTGAGAATTGTGGTCGTCAAGTGGCATCGATTGTCCATCTGGGGCGCCGGAGGCTCACTCTTGTTCGCCTCTTGCATGACGGCCATATTGTGCTGGTTCCAGGTAGGATACGCCATGATAGCTACCCCTCGATACTGGCCACTAACAGGGGCCAAGTGTCTGCCAGCGCAGCGCATCTATGACTCGAGAGTTGAAGGACATTGTATCATAAAGCCAGTTCCTTGCGCAATTTTGCTTGGCTGTAAGTTCAGGCTGGCTTTCAGAGCATTGCCGTCATGGTACACGCTGTTGACATAAAACAACAGGTTTTTGCGTGTTCGTGGATCTGTTCTTCGCCACTTTCCCGTGGATCTTCATAAGCCGGCTCGAAATGAAAAGAAGAGAAAAAGCCATCGTCGGCATTAGTCTGAGCTTTGGAATACTGTGTGTTGTTATAGTCAAACCCTCTGCGAATACTCAGCAACTGACATGAAACAGCGCTGCGATATGTGAAATTGTCCGAACCATCAATCTTCCAGGTCTAGGGAGCGAAAACTATACTGGTGCAGTTCATTTCCAGTTATTTCTTTTTTCTGTTCTCGATAGACTAACGTTTGTATACCGAACCAGGAGACACTGTCGCGCTGGTCGTGTGGTGTGCTGCCGAGATGGCAGTCACTCTCGTCTATATTGCAGTGACAACTATCATCCCGCTGTACATGAGAATTGCGAGAAACTCCTCCAATGGTCGATCAGCTCCTTCAACACAATCCCACAAGAGCAGCCCGATGGTTGGTGATACCCCTATCGAACTGCACCTGGTGTGGTCGAGTAGGCAAACGGGTATTCAACACCAGTACGAGCCTGAGTTGGGGTTCGGCGACCCATTCACCGAAACGAACGCCATGTTTACGAGAGACTTGAATCGAAGTGAAGAGGCTATATTGACCAAAGGAAGCTTTGCGGGCCGTTTGAAAACCGGGATTACGGTCACAGAAGATATCAGTCTTAGTACTAGACGAAGGTCTCGTGGTCGACAGATCCACGAAAATGGATGATGATCCTTTCTGATGTGCACATGCCTAAGAGAACGCGTCTCGAAGTTCGGCCCTATCGTGCCTCGAATTCACTCTTTGAGCGTGACTCCGATGCCATCTACTTCAGGGCCGATGAATAAAAAATTACATGGATGAGTCTTGGACTCACCTCGCAACCGCTCTGAGACGCTCACTACGACGTGTTCTAGAAAGAAACAGTCGACCCAGAGATCCACACAGAGTGTGCTTCTGCGCAAACAATAATTATTTAGGAGTACATAGTGATGAGAAGGTATCTACTGTGGAAGCTGGGAATTGGTAAAGAAAACAAAATATGCGTCGAAAACAGGAATTATCAATGCCTAGAGAGCTTTTTGAAGGTTCTGAGCTTCGCACACCTTAGCATACATACCGCCCCGGGCAAGAAGTTCTGCGTGTGTCCCCGCCTCAACAATTCGTCCGCTATAGAAGACGAAAATACGATCTGCGTTTGTGATTGTTGACAAACGATGAGCAACTGCAATCGTGATCTTATTGTCGGTTGAAGCAGCTTCCATCAGAGCGGCTTGCACTATTCTTTCGGACTCGGTGTCCAAAGCACTTGTAGCTTCATCCAGGAGAATGACCCTCGGATTGCGAATAAGTGCTCGAGCAATTGCTATACGCTGTCGCTGTCCACCAGAGAGTTGTGCGCCGTCCGTGCCGCAAGAGGTGTTGAGGCCCTCTGGGAGCGAACTGACAAAATCCCAGGCGTGAGCAGCGCGAAGAGCAGTTTCGATGGTAGGGTCATCGATGGTTATCTCCCCACTATCATCCTGGTCGACACCCATGGAAACGTTGTCTCTGATGGTGCCTGGGAATAGTGCGGGCTCTTGCTGCACGAGAGAAACAGCACGGCGATAGAGCCTAGGATTAATATCGGCAAGATCTTGTGAGCCATCGATGGTGATCTGACCACTCGTCGGATCATAGAACCGCTCAAGAAGAGACACCATCGTACTTTAGCCACACCCAGAGGCCCCAACAAAAGCAACGAATTGTCCTGGACGGATGGTCATTGATACGCCCTTGAGAACACGGTTATCAGGAGCAAGAGGATATGAGAACTGCACACCATCGAGATCGTAGGATGTGCAGCCGTTCGCAGGTACGACACTTGCGTTTTGGTCCGTCTCCCTGACAGTGGCTTCCAGGCCGCAAACCCAGAAGAAATAGTTTGCAGAAGAGTTTGCCTTCGTAAAGCCTGCGTTGTGTAAGTAGTCATGAATAGATATTTATACACGCAGCGTTTGGACCTACTGCTTGCAAACGTGAACATAGTAGCGCAGCCTTGGCCAGAGAAATACACAGCCATGAAGGAGACTATGAACTGATAGAAGTTGATGTCCCCGGCAGCGATGAGATTCGACCCCACCTATTTTCATATTAGTGACGATGACCTTGTATTCTTCTGAATTCATTCGTAGTTACTAAAAGCCCAGGGCCAAGATGAAGAACTCGACGGATTGGGTGAAGGCAAAGAACACCATCATGGAAACGAGCGAAAGCTTGGCCTCAGATATGGCGGTGTCAAGCTCGTCCGTATAGCGTTGTAGAACATCATTTTCGATGGCAAGTGATGAAACCGTGCGGATAGCTGTCACACTCTCGGATGCGATGGATGCACTTTTCGAAAACTTGGCATCAATATCGGCGTCCATCTTCGTTTCGACCCTGATGCGAATGTAACCACCAAGAATCATGGGAGGAATGCCAGCAAAAACGCCAACAAGACCGAGTTTCCATGACACGACGATGGAAAGAACTGAGCAAATAAGAACTGTGATAACGGAAAGCATAATCATAGTAACGTTGAAGCCCATGAGCTCGAAGAGAGACTGCGCGTCGGAATCGAGTCGGCTCGTTAAGGCGCCTATCGTATTCTCGGGGCGGTCAAAGAAGCGCAAGTCTTGTCGTAGGTAGGCAGCAAACATTCGCTTGCGCACATCGTGGCCATAAGCCTGTAATACAATTAGTCTTACATGAAGATGGAGCATGTCAAGGGGTAAGAGGGCACAGGTACCTGAGCAATGTGATTGCTGACCCACCCCATAGCCATGTAGACAAACAGAAGACAGATGGCCATTATGAAGAACATGAGTGCAAAGAAGTTGCCGCGACTTTGGTCCAGCTCAGGGTAAAACACGTCCATGACCTTGCCCAACAAAAGGGCCTGGCCAGGGTACACACCAGCTGGCACAGTTAGTTCAAATCAAATAGTTGTAAGATACAGGTCACGGCATGACTTACCTCCTAAAATGCTTGTGAACAGGGCAAGAACATACCACCACCGTAGATCAGGTGTGCTCTTCACAAGCTTCGCAGCTGTAGACAAGATGCCAGAAGTTTTGGCGAGCTCATAATCTTCTCGCTTGCTGAGCGAGATCAAGTTTTGATGCGCAAGCGTGTCGTGCCGATCCAGTGAATGAGTCTTTCAAGGGTCGAGTCATTGCGATCTTCTTCTTGGTCCGATTCAGAGTCATTCGCCTTCTCGTTGAGTGACAGATCCTAAGCCTTGACGAGAACTGCGTATGCACCGCCTAGGGTAACGAGGTCTTGGTGCTGGCCTTGTTCGACAATCTTTCCTTGCTTCATGACTACAATGTTATCCGCAGCTTGAATGGTCTTGAGCTTTTGCGCGATGACGATTGTGGTCCGGTCTTTCGACGCCTCATCCAGTGCTTTCTGAACAATTTCCTCGGCGTGCGGGTCCAGGGCGCTGGTCGCTTCGTCCAGCAGAAGGATTTTGGGTTGCGAGATTATACTTCGTGCAATAGCAATACGCTGTTTTGGCCGCCGGAGAGCAGACCTCCCCTCTCACCGATGCGCGTTTCATATCCTTGCGGGAGGTTCTCGATGAAGTCGTGCGCGAATGCCGTCTTAGCCGCATCCTTTATCCGTACCAGTCGCTCGTCTCGGGTCTCGTGTTCCCACGCAGTGCCAACGAGACCGTTGGAAATATTGTCAAACACGGTACCAATGAAGAGCACAGGTTCCTTTATTTGGTATCAACAACGAAACGCTGTGATGGGACTTGGTTGGATTGACGTACCTGTTGAACCAGTCTCATATTTGTACGAAGCCACTGCAGGTTGAGTGCTGAGAGAGGCCTGTCGTTGAGGGTAATCTCGCCGCTGCTGGGGTTATACCACCTTTCTAGCAGTCCGATGATCGTACTTTTTCCTGAACCACTAGCTCCCTGGGGTAATTGTCAGCTGGTTGCAGTCCTGTGTTCTTCCGAGAGGCTACTCACCACGAGAGCCGTAACCTTTCCGGCGGGAATGTAGAGGCTGAAATCATCTAGCACAGTGATATCCGGTCGAGTTGGGTAGCTGAAAGACAGTCCGCGGATGTTGATCGATCCGTCAACCTCAGCAATGGTATGTCCCGCAGGATCAAATGGATCAATATTCGATTTGCGATCAATAAGAGAGAACAATTCGGAGGCGGCTGTCGCCGCTCTTGTAAAAGTCACCATGTTGGGAGCAACTGAATTCAACATGGCTGCGGCAATCACGACAGAGAAAAGCACACTGAACAGAGTAAGCATATGCGTGAGGCATGGCCTGCAGTACTGGGTGGAAGAACTTACGTAAAAACTGTACCAATATCGTCAACCTCTCCGCGAGCAATCATCGTGATGCCCTGCCAAAAGGCAAGACCCATGCCGGCAAACATGACAAAGTACTCTCCGGCAAAGAGAAGGCCGTACAGAACATTCTTCTTTTGGCCCAAGGTACGGGCCTCGTCCAGGTACTTGGTGTACTGATCAACGATCCTTGAACTTAGACTGAAGGCTTTGATGGCCCGGATGTTTCCCAGTGATGATTCGGCGAAGGCACCGGCTTGAGCGTAGACCTTGAGAATGCTTGTCTCGATGCCTGCGTCGATACCACCAGCAGTCCCGACCATGAGGATCAAAGCAGGCACAATGCAGATCAATATGAGTGTGAGCTTCCACTGGCTCACGAACGCAATGATGAATGCCGCGACAAAGGTTGCATTAGCCTGGATCATCTGCCCCAGCTTTTCCGAGGTGGCAGATTGAATCAATCGGCCATTTGAGGTAGCCTGCATGGATATTGATCCTACGCTGCCGAAGTCGAAGAAACTGATTTCCTGACGAAGCGCGGAACGCATGTAGTCGCGTCGCAGATTGCGGCCCAGTCGTAGAGCAGCATATGTCATGGCTGTCGAGTAGATGTAGATGCAACCGAAGCGAGCGATTCCTATGTATACAAAGTAAAGTCTGTTGCTTGTCAATAATGGAATTACAGAGTGCTGTTACTCGTTACTCGCAGCATTACATACGATTGCTTGGAAACCAGCGACATAAAGTCATCAGGGATGTCGTTGCCCGAGCTGAACCCGCTTAACAGGCTGATGAAGTTTCCGAGGACGAGATTGACCATGGCGAGGGCGACCCCAGAGCCGCATGCCGCGATGGCGGCAATTGCTTGAAGAAGATAAATGGTTGGTGTGCCGTAAGAAAACACTCTCTGTTCGACAGGGTCAGTGTACTCTAGTTTGCAGGCTTGAGAAGGCGGTTAGACTCACTAAGAAAGCCGACATCGCGGACGTGTGCTGTGGAATGCCTCCGCCATTGCGAGAATCTGTCGTGCCGGCATGGGTGGTTCCGCCATCGCTGGCAGCAGGGTTGCCGATCGATTCTTCACTCATCGTGTGATACAATCCGAATAATAGGATCAGAATCCAGCCCTGGAGTGTGATGGTAGAGGCAGAATGTTTAGACAGAGGATGACAATTGCGAGAACGCTGTCTTAAGGATCCGAAGGAAACAAATTTGACCAGCAGACTGACGCTGGTTGATGGTTCTTATTGACTCTGGGAGTCATAGCCTCATTAGCGCCACCCCTCGCGTCCGCTCTGGGATCCGTACGGCAATGTATCACGCAACGAAATAGCTCAATGGGAGGCTATTATCCTTGCTCTTTCCGCTGCTCGCTGGTTGCAAACACCAAACGCTGCGGAGGCCGGGGCTCCGAAGGCCGCGATGATCCGCATGCGCCGATCCGCATGCGCCGCCGAGGGTCTCCAGCAAACCCCAGAGCCGGGTGCATGGCAGTCCCACTATACGACTTACTATGAAGACGAGGCTAACTCCCGCTGAAATCATAGGATGGCCTCATCCTCATTCAAACTGGGTGCGATTGATCGATGGCTAGTGTGCACTTCACCTTTGGTGGAAGGATAACTCCTCACGGAGCACTTAGGCGAGGCGGAAATGACATAGCGATGCATTTATGTCACCGGTTTATGAATAATACCACGTATGTTTGCCGCATATCTCCTTGTCAAGTCTAAAAAGTTGTCTGTCTCGAATAGACAAACCTCGATCGATGGACCGGAGAATAGAGAGCCGTCAATCGAGACATCGCTATAATTAGCTCCCTGAGTCTCTTCACACGTGTATATAGACGCCACTCTGATATTATGCTCAAGTTGCCCGGCATTGTCGCAATTGTGCCCCCTCCCCATATGATGTCGCGATGTGGCACGTTATGGGAAGGCCGGCCCCCGGGACTTGCGACGTCCGGGGACCGACATTTGCCGTCTGCCCCACAATAACCGAAATGAAGCTTGGTCAGAGACTGCGGGCCTAGAGCCCCGGCTCGGCGGTAATGAAGAGAAAGTCAAAGACCGGCGTCCGATGATCACTGTTGTCTTAAAGGCCTGGGAAGTAACATACACGCCAATCGGCCTCCGCATCAGTCTTCGGGGGCTGGAAATGCTGTGGACCTGATATCAGAACCTAGCTATGAGCCCGCCCTCGGCCAAGGCCGAGCGCTACCTACTTAGGCCACTCCCTCACAACGTTCAAACTTGACTGCGTTAATATGAATTCAAGTGGTCATCGGTTAAAGAAATCAGCATGGCCAGTGTAATCTATCGCTCCAGGTCTATATTTATATTCCCGCAGGTCTCTGCTCTCTACGATACGCGAAGGTGTAAGTGTGTCGACACGGAACAATACCACTTGAACTTGAGTCGCGCTTGTGACAGGCCTAGGCGGTGGAATTGTTTTCCTCCTTGCGAGAAGCACCTGGGATACGCTGTTCACTGCTGTGATTCGGACTCGGCATCGACATCATTGCATGCAGAAGAACGACATTAAACCAGAACGCCAAATGACTTATCTTGAGGGTGATATCATATGATGCAACAGGAGAACAAGACCCAACATGTCTCCGTGTAAAAGGCTGGTCTATACTCTGCCAGCAGAAAAAGTTTGGTCATCAAGGAACGCGCTATAGCTGGATGGCGTAGTCCTGTCGACGCAGGACCCGTCCGTAGCTCCTCGTCCATCCCACCCATCCCTCCTGATCGTGAGGCGCAACATTTTGACGCCGGTAAACACACTTCTCACACTCCGGAAAGCGCAGTGTCGGCTTAGTCGACCTGCTTCTCGCAACCAATCCGGCCAAGCAGCTCCTTCCTGTCGCTGTGGCTCGGCAGGCTGACGCCCGATGCGCTGGCCTGCCTCTTGACGCCAGACCTGCGTTCCCAGCTCTTGAGGTGGAGCTCTTCAACACCAACCTCCTCCTCGAGCGGAGCTTCCTCGTATACAAAGTCATCCTCCTCCTCAGCCTCGTCGTCACTGCGGTTATCCTCGGCGCTACCACCACGAATCACCTTGATAGCAACGCGGGCAATGAGGACGAACCAGGCAAAGATGAGGCATTGCAGCAGCAGAAGGGGTACAAGGAAGTACCAGGTGACCTTCTTGCCGAAGCAGACCATGCCCTCCGCGTCCCAGAACGGCTCGAGGAGATAGCTCGAGGTCTCGGGCACCGGAAAGGGACCTTGGAGATTGCTATCGGAGCCCTTGTAGCAGACCTCGCCGATGATATTGGGAATATCAGTGTAAATGGACCAGCAGACCATTGGGTACAGGATGTGGCGGGCGACAATCCAGTAGGTCAGGAAGACGCCAAACATGACATCGCAAACGGTCGTGAAGCCCATGTACTTCAGGCACTTGGCGAGCTGTGGTTCGGTTAGTCATCTGGGCACCCAGCTGGCAAGCGAGTCGCAATGGCCATTCACATACCGGCAGGAAAATATCACCGACGTCCATAATGACGAGAATGACGTTGCCGACGCGCGTCTGGTGGTAAGCGTAGCACGAGAACAGCAGGCCAAGAGTGATGATGTGGTGGGTAAGCATCTGCCAGTGGTCGTTGCGGCGCTCCTCAATGTTGATAACAATAATCTGCTGGATCCAGAAAGCTGACTGGGCCAATGTGTAGAACTTGTTGAGCGCATTCAGCTCGCGAACTGGCCAGTTGGTCCACATCTCTTGGAGGTTGAGGAAGTATGATGAAGTGCAGTAGATATACTGGAAATCGTCAATACATGCATATAAAGTCGCTTGCGCAGCAAACGCCTGCAGGTCAACATACCAGGCCCATTGACCAAAAGATAACATAGTACACCAGCATCCAGGACTGCTCGCTGAAGCGGGTCAGGTCCTTGGTCTTGCGCACTCCCCATGTCTTGGCAAAAGGAGCCAAAACGTATTCCATCGTGGCGGCGCGCAGACCAGTGAAGAGAATAACGCAGAAGGCGATGAAGTACATGTCGTCGCAACCATTCTTGTAACTACCCGTGGCGGGGTTGCGGTATGACAGGGTGAAGAACTTGGCAGTGTGTGGTTGCGCCTTGGGGATGAAGTAGTGGGCAAGGAAAAGGAGGGCGAGGAGGTTGAAGGAGAGACCTAGCATTACACGAAGACGTTAGCATGGTGATCACTGTCAATGGGCATAGTGGGGTTTCAGTTGCCATGTTTGACAAGGGCTGCCGTGGCACCTGGTGGCTTGGGGCACTGAGACCTCCACCACGAGGCAGCTTAGGCAGAAGGGAGAATGATGGGAACGCAATGGGAACGCAATGGGCAAGATCCTGGGATTGGGCGTGAGACGTACCAATCTGATTCTCAACGAACCAGCGAGCCAAGAGAACCAGAGCGCTGTCGTCCTGCTTTCTGTTGCGAGGCACGAAGCGTACGTTCTTGTTGCCGGCTGACTGCATGTATAATGGGCCGTTCATATTCTGCGGCTTCTTCTGGCTTGTGTTTCGCTCAATGGTTGGAGTAGCGGTGCGAGAGACGGCCCGATCTTGGGGCGAGTCCTGGAATTGCACCTCTGGGGAAGTTTGAGCCTCGACCTCAGGCTGAAGCTGGGCCGGCTGGAGGACGGAGCCATCGACGTCGGCCATGGTGTGGGAGATTGGAGATCTGCGCGTCGAGATCTTGCTGTGTCGGAGAGGAGGACTGTTCGAAGTGGCCAGGTCGGTCCCAAGGTTGGGAGCGATTCGATCAAGACTGCGGGAAAGGCGATAGCTCGAATATAGTAACAAGACGCAACAGACAAAGTCTCAACTCCACATATGCTACTGCGCTATGCTGGCGACCAAAGGCACAGTCGAGGGTACGAGGAGCAGGAGGGGCGATCGGAGTGATGCGAGTCGAGTTCCCAGCGACCAATGGGTGGTTGGTAGTTGGAATGCGCGAGAGGTAGGTTCGCAAAGACCTGGTCTAGGAAAAGACGAGCGTTTTGCGGGGGGAGTTGTCGAGACAGCTGGCAAGCCGATAGGGGGGAGGGGGGGGGGAGGACGAGCTGTCGTCGTTGAGGAGGAGCAGGGGGACGGGGGGGAGAAAGAGTAGGTTGGAGGAGGTGAAACTAGGTTGAGGATCAAGATCAGGATGCAGAGGTCGATGCGGTGTCGTGGTTTGCTGTGCTACCTTGTTGACTTGCCAGGTGCTCGGCTGGCTCGCTTGGCTAGATGGGGGGCCGAGGAACCTGAAGCCTTGCTCGTCAGTGTAAGGTAACGTAGCCTACCTAAGGTAAAAGGTAGGGTATGGAAGTACATTAGGCCAGCTCGACAAGGTGGACTTTGTTTTTTTTTTTGGCTTTCTCCTGGGCCCCCCTTCCCCCCCCCTGCGGCGGTGGTGCTTGCTGGCCGTAGATGTCGACTCCATGCGTATGATCCGACCCATCACAATTTTTGCTCGAATTGAGGCATGCTGGTTGGTTCGTTTGGCGGGCATGCTGGGGCAGATGAGCTGGGCCCTGCTCAGGGCCCACAACTTTGGGAGATCAGGGGCGTTGACTTGGGAGGAGCCGGCCTCGAAACTGAAGGCGGTGAGCCTCCTTTGCAGCACGGGAGTTGACAGGGTTGAGAGCCTGTGACAGGGCGTGGTCCATGGATAGGGGTCCTTGGGGGTCCCAATCTTAGCGGCTAGCCAGGGGCGAGAGGGGCTCCCAGGAAGTGGGTGGTGTGCTGGGCTTTTGCGGTTTACCACGCAGGGTGGCCAAGCTTGGTCTAGCGTCCTTGCTGCTTTTCAAAGGCCTTCACCTCGCCAGTCAACCAGCGCCCATTACCTACAACAATTTTCTACAATAAGGTCGATGCAGCTAGCCAATGTAATTGTAGATGTGATGGCTGGCTGTGAACACCTCTATATTAGATGCCATGTTTGAAGCCCAAATTAACTCTGTATGGGATTTATGGGTGGCCGGCCGGTGCTGCAAGCCACACCTACCTCGGCAAGTGCAGGATCTGACTTAAAGCAGCGCTGAGCATTGCGGAACCGATCCCTTCTGGCGGGGGGGGGCTTTGTTCAAACCCGTCTCGAGGGGTCTAATATAGCCGTTGGTGCGCCCCTTTTCTTGCGTGCTCTCCTCGAGACGAACCTTCAACATCTGCCCCTCACTGCGCCCCTCCGCCCCTGTCCAGACCAAGTAACGCGAATGCAGCTCAAAGGCCAGGCCAGGCCGCATGCACCCCTCCTGGCTGGCCGCCTGATGCTTCAACGCATGGGTCTGCTGGTGCCCAAGGAGAAGCGCAAGCCAAGTCCGAGAAAGGTGAAATGCAGTGCAATGCGTGGGGGAAACTGCCGTCCCCCTCCACTGTTAAATCAGGTCGGCTGCAGGCTGAGAAGTCGAGGGAGAAACAGATGTGTTGCCCGGATCTGGACCTGGCCAGTATGGTGGTGTCGTCTGGTACATCCGAATGATGCTTATAAATGTCTTCACTCCCGAACGAAGTTTGAGAGCAGCAGATGGTCTACAAGTACATCTAGTGATTTGAGCTACTGCGCATTCATCTATCCATGCCTTTGAGTACCACACAGTGTGAGTTTGTGTAAATAACTGTTGGTTCAGAACCGTTGAGTGTCTGTCTTGCAATGGAGCCGAGCAGACTCTTCCAGCCACATCTCTTTGCCGCTTAGGCAATCGAGAAAATCAGCACAGCCACACTACCCCACATGTGACCATATGGACGTGCGCTTGACGACATTCATCCGTCTGACGCCCCCGAAGCTTCCTTTCTGCCTACGAACCTATTCGCGCTCTGTGAACACGCAATCAACAGCTGATAACCACCCTACCTCCGCCATCAACTTCACGTACTTCCATCTCGTCTCAAAGAAAAAAAAAACACAGCGGCAAGACACAACTGCGGGTGGCACCGACAGCTTCTACCATGGCTGCCAACACCAAGTACCAAAAGGCGCCAACTCACGACCCCGATGCCGACGAGCACGGTCTCTACTCCCAAGCGCCCCCCGCCTACCAGGCTGAGAGCAGCGCCGCTCAGGATGAGGCTCGTCTCTTCGGCGGCGGTGCGCCGCGCGCCAGTCAGGATGAGGACGGCGACCTGCCCGACGACTTCAAGTTTGGGGGCTCCGTCGCCGAGGCCACCATCGACATCCGCATGCAGTTTATCCGCAAGGTCTACGCCATCCTGACTGTCCAGCTCATCGTCACCGGCGCCGTCTCGGCCCTGAGCTTCTTCAGCGAGGGCTACAAGTCCTGGATTCAGTCCCACCCCGGCGTCGTCTGGATTTCCGTACGTAGTCCCCTCCCAGACCGTGGTTGTTTCCCACATGCAAGACTAACATGCGCTTCCCACTCGTCTGTAGCTCTTCGGCTCCATCGCCTTCATGCTCCTCACCTTCTGGAAGCGCAAGTCGTATCCAACGAACCTCCTCTTCCTCTCGGGCTTCACCCTCCTCGAAGCCTACACCGTCTCCGTCATCGTCTCGTTCTACAAGGCCCCCATCGTCCTCAACGCCGTCGTTCTGACGGCCGGCATCTTCGTCTTCCTCACCCTCTTCGCCTGCCAGACCAAATACGACTTTACCTCGTGGGCCCCCTACCTCTTCGGCTCCCTCTGGGCCCTCCTCCTCTTCGGCCTCATGGCCGCCTTCCTGCCCTACAACTCGACCGCCGAGCTCGTCTACGGCGGCGCCGCCGCTCTCATCTTCAGCGCGTATATCCTCGTCGACACCCAGCTCATCATGCGCAAGCACCACGTGGAGGAGGAGATTGCCGCCGCCATCAGCCTGTACTTGGACATTCTCAACCTCTTCCTCGCCATCCTGCGCATTCTCAACAGCCAGCAGAACAACTAAGGGTTTAGGTATCGTGACGGGACGATGGGGGCGGATGCAGAATCCAATTGTAGGCGCACTGCTATGGACTATCCGACGCCCCCTCCGCTCGGTTGTGAAGCATTCCGTGGTTTGTTTTTCTTTAGTCAAGTACATTTCAGGCGTGCGTTGGGATTGGTGGCGTTAGCTTTCTTATAACATGACTCTCTAGCAATTGAAACAGGTTGAATCGGCACTCAAGCACCAAGAGAATCAAGTGTTCACGCATTCGCCACGGCCCGGGAAAAACACTGCACATATGCAGACGGCGCTGCCCGCATGCTAAATATTTCCCCCAAAACCTTTACATTGATGAATATTTGCATTAAAGTCCATTTTAAAAAAGCAGCGAGTAGACAGTGTGGGGAGACAGCTGCGCTTGTCTTGTATTTGGAGTGCAACGCTTGGTTGGAGCATTAGACATACAACCAAGCGCGGCGTTTGACCCAGCATCCAACCCCAAGCGTTGCCTGTCTAATATCCGCCGTTGTCTTGCCAGACAACGGCAGGTCTCTAGCCCACAGAATGAACGAGATGCCTGCCCCAGCGCACGAGCCGGGTGCGGCCGCAGGCCTGCAACAATATCTCTCTTTCCAGTCGTCACAGTTGTCGGCCGTTTGGGGGAGGGTTGAAATCTTCGTTAGTGAAAGAAAACGCGTAGCAGCCGGGGAATAATGTTCGTTCTCTCTTTCTCTCTCGACGCAACAGCAACACGACAAACCAACGCCAAAGTAGAAAACAGCCAAAGCCACGACTTGACCGGGAAATTTTCAGGTGGCCACCAGAGGTTTTGACTCTGATTCCTAGTTGTGGTCTCCGTTGGCACCGGTGTTCGTCTCCTGCGTCGGGGCCGAAGCCGCGGCACTGGCTTCGCGCTGCATGCGGGCCTCGATCTCGCGCAGCTGAGACTCGCGTGCAAGGAGCTCCTGTCGCTTCTCGGCGATCTCGCGCTGGACTTTGCTTTCGATCTCGCGCAGCTTCTCCTCCTCCCGACGGAGTTGCTCTTCCTTGAGACGGACAGACTGAGACGCGAGGTCTTCGGGGTTCATCGAAGAATCACTGTGACAGGGTCAGTAACCACATAAATGCAACGCAACGAGCAACACATACACGCCGGCACCACCCTCAACAGACTTGCTGAGCTTCTCTGTACGGTAGTTTTCGTAGAGGAAATCGTGGGTGATTTCCTTGAGATCGGCCAAATGGCTGTGCAGTAGGGCCGACCGGATAGCGAGGAAGTCAGAATGGCGAGGGTTGTCAACCTCTACCACACCCCAAGGGTACTGGCGAGCGCGGACCTTGCGGCCACCAATCTCAACGATGTCCTCGGAACCGACGATCGCGAAGGGCATAAGCCCTCTCAACTCGGCGTTCTCCTCGACTGTGTCCTCGTCGTCCTCCTCAATGTCGTACGGGAAGTTGTATACGGGAATACGGTAGTGCTCGATGTCCTCCATGACAAGCTTCTTGGACTCCGCTAGCTCGGCAGGTGTAAGCGAGTCAGCGCGACCAATGACGGGGATGACGTTGGCGCGAGGAGCGAGGCGCTTCATCAGCTCAATGTCAAGTTCTCGCAGGCTGTACAACACGCACGTTAGTCAAAAACAGGGACCGCGATCTGCCGAGCGCGCGACGACGTACCCATGGCCGGTGGGGGTGATGAAATAGAGCATGGCGTGAACTCGGTTGTCCCTGAAACGAGGGTTACGCTTGATTCGGGACTCCTCGGCCAGGATGTCGTCATATTGTCTCTCGAGATAACCGACAATTTCTGCGAAGCTGTTGATGCGCCGTCAGCCACAAAAGCCTTGGTCTGTCAATGGACTCGTCGTACCTAGCCTCGTTATCGATGAGGTCACCGAAACCGGGGGTGTCGACAATGGTGAGGGAGATGCGGGTGCCCTCCTCATCCAGCTCGAGCTCTGTACAAACGTCAGCGTTTGGTGTGGGAGGATTGGACCATGGCGTGACGAACCAACGGTGACGGGCTTGATCTTGACGCCCTCCTCGACGTGAGCGTCGTTTGGGTCGTCGGAGTCCTTGTGATTCAGAACGCTCTTGCCGCACAGCGTGTTGACGAAGGTGGTGCGGCCTGTTTCCCAGGTTGTCAGCTGGCGGTGAGTTTCCCAACGCACCGCGATGCAGCGCCATTTGGAATCGTAGTTGACATACCAGTACCTGAGGCTCCACAGACCATCAGGCAAAACTGGATGCCCTTCTTGACATTCTTCTTTCGGCGCATCATCTTCTAACCCCAAGCATGGGTCAGTAGAGGACTCTTGTAGATCGGGCTGCAGGGTTCGGACGCATTGCAGTTGCTGGCCCCAAGTGACGGTGGTGCGCTCGCCGAGGCAAAAGGGAAAGGACCACGTACCGCGGGAGACGACATGATCGCGGTGTGATGGGTTCAGTTGTCGATTCGATCCGCGGGTGGAGGAAGAAAGATGGGATGAGTCGTGAAGCTCAGGGGCGCGCAAAAGGTTCGAGATGCAATCACGTCGACGCAGGTGGGGAGGTCGGTGTGAAATCGCGGACAAGAGCGACAACTGCCTGATGTGGAAGCGATTGAAGGGTTGTAGGGTCGAGGCACGAGACGGCTCCTTGGAAACGGGTGCAGTGTGGCAGGGGGGAGGCCGTTAGCCTGGTGGTGAGGTCTGGGGCCAGGTGCAAGGGAACCAGACAGCTAGTTGTTGACCGACGGGAGTCGTAGAGAGCAATTTCACAGGAAATGTCACGGCAGGAGGGTCTGGCCAATCCCCACCATCGACACACCCAGCCGGCGCTGCCTTACAAGTACACCGCACATAGGGGAGCAGTGCACCACGCTTCATGCTGCATTCTGATTGATGGTCAACATGGCAGCACAGTCTTTGGCGTGTCTCCTATCTTCATCATGGCCCAGTCTATTGATGTGCATCAGCGTTCATCAGGTGTGGCCTGCCTAGCTTGTGCGAGACCAATTCAGGGGCAGAGGGAGGAGGGCAGAAGGAGACCTGCGCCTGGCGCAACCAAAGAGACCCCTGTTTCGCTGTCCCACCCTCCAATCCTCGAGATGACTGACCTTTCGCAGCTACCTCGTCGTTCCCTAAAGAGGCAAGCGTCAAGTGCGGGGTATTTTCGGTTCGGGAGCGCGTTTCGTTTGGTGCATTGATTGATCGGGCAGTTCTGTCACGAGATCTCAGGGTGGCGTGAGCTCCTTGCGTCCTGAGGTGCCAGCTTCCCGAAGTGCCTGCTTAGGTACCTACCTGCCAGGTACCTTCATAACTCAGGTAGGTAGCTAGGGAGGGAGGCGGCATCTTGGTGTTGTACCAGGCGGGCGGCAGACGGACAGTGTGAAAGGAAAGTGTGAATGGTTCACTAAACCGTTTTGGTGTGGATGAGGCGTCTTCTTCCCCAACCGCATCCATGCACCTCCACCGTCAGTTGGAGCCTGGGGTACTTACGCAAGCTACCTCGTCCAGATGAACTTGGCCATCTGACTCTCGACACATCATATTCATCGACCATAAAACACCGTTGCAAACTGGTCGCGCCAATAGCATTCCGAACCTCACTTTCTCCTTCGGACCTAACTTTTATCGGGCACCGCAACCTTCAGGAATCTGACGTCCTGTTGCTCGCAACCTTCCACACTTCCAGCCCCGCCTCCCTCGCTCATACACCTCGTCGCCAAGGTCCCCAAAAGCATCACTCTCACTGCGACAAAGTCCCGACGAACACGCCCAAGCGCCAGGTCAAACCAATCTCCTTTACGACCTTGTCTTAAGTCTTCTCATAGCGTAGCAGCTCCAGTTCCGCCACCCGACCCCATTGCATTCATTGTGGAGTCTCAGCACAAGAGGCCAGGAGACCGAGATTCTCAAGGATGAACGCATAGTAGAATTCGCCATCACCAGAACACTCACGGCCCCTGCTGCCCAACTGCCAGCCATATTCAAGTCGTTTCGTCGCTCATCGATGCTTTGACCAGCCAAAAAGCCCTGTTCAAGCCCCAAAGACAATATACATACACATCATGTACACGCGCCCGCCAATAGAGACGGCAGTACCCACAGAAGTGCTGTCAGTCTCCTTCAACAATAGTGCTTCACACTTCACACTGGGGCTGGACACTGGCTATGCTGGTAAGCCATCACTGTGAGCATTGAGGAAAAGCCAATATGATCTGAGACATCGTCTAGTTTTCGTTACCGAAACATGTTCTCCGCGGTCAATTAAAAGTCAGTTGGTCGGCTGCTCCTTGATGAATCAGACAGTCTGCTAACACAAACTAGATGTCCAAGGCCCCATCGGACTGGTTGAGATGCTCGACCTCACTAACTATGTTGCCTTGGTTGCCCGGGGCACCCATTCACACTTTGCCCAGAACAAAGTTGTGATTTGGGACGACCAGAACAACAAGAAGGGCTTGCACATTAGCCTCGTGCAGCCCATTCGAGGGGTGCTCCTCGGTCCTCTACTCGGCCAGCGACACGTCGTCATTGTTTTACAGGACAGCATTCGTCTTCACACTTTCAACAAGAAGCCAGAGTTTGTGACACAGTACGAAACCACATACAACCCGCTCGGTCTCTGTTGTATGTCCGACAGGCTCCTCGCATTACCAGGGAACACATCCGGACACGTCCAGCTAGTTGACCGAGCAATCAAGACGGTGAACATAATCCCGGCGCACAACTCTGCTTTACGAGCACTGCAAATGAGCCGCGATGGCGAGCTTCTGGCCACGGCGAGTGACAAGGGCACGCTAATCAGGATCTGGTCGACAAAGACGCGTGCGAGGGTGGCCGAGCTGCGTCGCGGCGTTGATCCCTCCACGATTTTCCACCTGGCTTTCAATCCATCAGGCACCATGCTGGCTTGCACATCAGACAAGTCAACATTGCACATATTCGATGTTCCGCACCCAAATCTGAATATGGCGCCCACCTCGGACCAAGACGGCGAGTCTTCTACGTCAAAGGATGACAAGGGGAAATGGGGTTTCTTGGGCAAGGTGCCATTCATGCCAAGGGTCTTCTCCGACACGTACTCATTCGCCAGTGCCATGTTTGAATCGAGAGAAGACCTCGTCAGCAGCATGTCTAAGCCGCAGCAAGGTGTTATCGGATGGATTGACGACAATACAGTAGTCGTTGTCGGTGCCGGACGTGATTCCAAGTGGGAGAAATTTGTGATTCGCAAACCTCATGAAACACCAGACGGGAAGCGTGACTGCGTGCGCGAGGGCTGGAAACGCTGTCTGGGAGGCACTAGGTAGGGCCGGTTTCGAAGACACGGAACTCCGGCAGAGACGCTGGACTGGAGACAAGGATTTCGAACACATTTGGCTATTGGCGCACGGTTGAGACTGGGGTTGGGATTTATGGTGACGACTGCAACGAGTGTAAGGCATACAAGCGGAATGACGGCCTGAATACTGGGTTTCTTAAGTACCATTTCTTATCAGATAGTCTCTATCTTCTCGGCCGAGGCGAACGTGAGCGACTGCGCCTTTTGCTACGATCGTCATCTTTGTCGTCCTTATGCCTTCTTCGTCGCGGCTCATCGTCATCATGGCGTCGTCGTTCTCGCCTCGCCCGGTCATCCTCCTTGCCACGATGCCGCCGATCTCTCGATTGGTCCCTAGTGTCTTGCTCTCTGTCAACTCGGGCCGTTTCTCTGCGTGGCTCGCGATGCGGAGAGCCACCATCTCTTCGTCCCTCACGGCGGGAGTCTTTCGTTCTGTCCTTGGCTGACGGAGACTCGTCGCGTCTTGACCTTCGACTGCGGTGCCTATCATCTCGTTCTGTGTCGCGCATCTCCTCGTCGCTATGTTCTCGCCTAGACCGGTGCGACCGATGTCGATGCTTGTGTTTCTTCTTCCTTTCCGACCTTTCGTGCTCGCGCACTGCTTCCTCGACCTCTTTCTTCTTCTCTTCGATCAGGAAAGCTTTCATTGGATCGTCCTCGTCGTGGTCGCGAACGAGAAGGGCAAGCTCTCTCTCTTCAGGTAGCATGGGCCTCTGTTCGGCCTCCTCGTCTTCTTCGTCTTCCGTGTCGTCTCCCCCACCACCACTCTCCCGTTTCGTCATTGTGGCCCAATCAACCTTACCCTCGTCAGGGTCTTCGTCGTCCCGGAACTTGTACCGCGCATGGTCTACACGCACCATGCGACTGCCAATTGTTGCGCCGCCGAGATTGTCCACGGCGAGGTCGGTGCTGCGCTGGTCCTCGTACTTGAGCCAACCGAACCCCTTGGCCTTGCCCGTCTCCTTGTCGCGTGCAAGCTTCAGCCACACGGGCTCACCAAACTGGGAAAAGATTGTGATCACGTCGCCCTCGGACATTTCGTAGGGAAGGCCGCCAAAGTAGATAAAGGCCGTATCGCGGTAGTCGACGTGCCAGGAGGCTTCTGGGGAGCTGGCGGAGAGGTCAGAGGAGATCGCCCGCTGAAGGAGACGACTGGGCAGAGACTGCAACTCACATTCCATTCTCTATTTCTTGCTTGTTCAAAGCTTGTATTGCCTTGATCTGGTTCATGGTGACAAAATCTGTGGACCACAGACCTTGAAGTTGGAGAAGGCTGTCACAGGGTCGCGCGCGAAGATGACGAACTTGCATGCAAGGCTGCAAGAAATCACAAGGAGCCAAGCAGCCTAGACTGGAGCTTTTGGAGCACTGACCAGCTACCGTTCTAGCGCGCCATGCGCTGGAAGCCGAAGCTTGGGCGGGCGGCTGCTGCCCCAACGATCGATGTTCCTCGACGCACTGTGCCTGGCTCAGTGCAGCCACTACCTGAACTCTAGGCGGGAAAAACGCCGGGCCGGTGGAGACGCCAAATGCCCCGACCAGGGTCCCTCCAAAACTCGCCCGTGACGAGAAGGGGCCTCTTGGGAATTGGGAACGTGCTCCCCGGCCCAGTTGTTCGAAGCGGTGACCAGTCTTGCTGCACGACCCCAAGAAGCTCCGTGATCGACTTGCTGTCCCTGTCTCCCCGTCTGTTCGCGGTTTCTGTCCACAGTCGACCCCCCACGAGCTCTCGTCTCGGCGCATGGTCTCCTTCACCTGTGTCCCGTTGCAACCTCGAGCTAAAACGCGTCAAGCTTGACGATCCACACACCCACCGACCTCCCTACTCCTCGACACCACATCTCCCAATCATTCTCTCCCCTGACGACCAAAATCCCCATGACGGCCACTGAATCGCCTTGACCATGGCCGCGAACGGAAACCGGGTCTCAACATACACGTCGGTCTCGACCGGCTCCGATAGCCGCAATGCCGAAAAGAAGGATCTCTGGAGCACCCTCCTCGACTCGGTAGCGAGCGGCAAACGGCTGCCAGAAAAGAATATCATTGTTCTGGGTGGCAACTCTGACTCGCAACGGGAGTTTCTCGATGCCCTCTCCAACAGCAGCGAGAAGCGCACCCTCGATCGGCAGAGCTCGAAGCCGCCCCCTGTCGCCAACAGCTTCGCCCTCGGCTACACGTACTACGATGTGCTGGACGCCGATCAAGAAGGTCCGTCTGGCTGGCGAAACGAGCGAGCACCATCCCCCTCGGTGCCGCCAAGACGCTCTTGACTGACAGATTCTGGTAGACACGCTCGCACGAATATCCCTGTACATGCTCTCGAACCCGTCCGAAGCGTTCCCCAGGCTCCTCGAACCCCTGATCACGCCCGAATCCATACCTAACACTCTGGTCGTCGTGCTGCTCGACTGGTCAGCGCCGCACTTGTGGATGCGCCAGTTGCGAAAATGGGTGTTGTTCATGCGTAGCGTTTTGGAAAAGACGGACAGTGAGTGTCAGACGGCAATGGAGGAGGCAATGGCCGGGTGGCGGGATAGGGGACGTGGTGGCGGGTCCATGAATCTGGATGGCACGGCAGCCGCTTCAACCAGCGAAGGCGACGTTGCGTTACCCCTCGGTCCTGGCGAGTGGGAGGAGGGCCTTGGCTTGCCGCTCTGTGTGGTCTGCCAAAACGTGGGTCGTCCGTCTGTGGAAGTTGTCGGGGTAATGCGCTGACATTATGACAGGCCGAAAAGATCGAACTGTTGGAGAAATCCCAGGGTTGGAAAGAAGGCGACTTTGACCAAGTTTTGCAGTACATTCGTACGGCGCTGCTCAGGCGTAGGTCACCGTTCGATCTCGGCCATGAGACGACGTCGATGCTGACATTTCCAAACACAGACGGCTCATCACTTATCTACACAACACCAAACGTACCCTCGCCACTACCGAGTCTCATTCATTCGAGTCTGGGCATCACCTCACTCCTCAAACGCCAGCCTCTCAAGCACAACGTCATCGACAGAGACAAGATTCTTGTCCCTCCTAATTGGGACTCCTGGGGCAAAATCCGTGTTCTTCGCGACGGTTTCGACGTCGAGGCTACTAGTCTCGGCTGGTCCCATGACCTTCAGTCTAACTTTACCTCCCCCTCGATGACGACCGAGGGCCTCGCCGTTCTCGCGAAGGCCAAGACGGAAGGCTCCTACGACGGCGAGGCCTGGACCTCAGCCGTCGCCCCATACGAGGACTGGATTCGCGACCTGTCGTCTACGGCCGACGCACTCGCGCTTGGTGGCCAGGACGTCGCCGCCACCTCCTCCCTCGAGGTCAAATCGCAGGACACGCAGGATTTCCTCGGCGCGAGCCTCTCAACGCTCGAGGCTTTCAAGATCAAGGCCGAGCAAAAGTCGGCCTCTTCTGATGTCGCGCGATCCTCAACTACGGCTTCTAGCAGCGCTCGCGCCTCGACCGTTCGTCGTGCCGACGACGGCGCCAACGACGGCAAGGTCAGTGAGCACATTGGCCCCGTGCAGTTCAACATGGGCGGCATCCAAGTCGACGCCGACGACATGGTCCAGCGTCTCAAGGACCGCCAGGCCTACGGCACCCCGGACCCCACGGCTTCGCCCCCAGACTCGGGCGTCGCCGCCCCTGGTGTCGGCACGGGCATTGGCAGCCCAGGGCCCGCGAGCCCCGCCGCTGCAGGCGACGGCCCGGAGGTCATGGATACGGAGAACCTGCAGGCCTTCTTCAGCGGGCTCATGAACCGCAAGGGTGCCGGCGCGGCGGGCAGCCCGCGGCCGGGCGTCTGAGATGGCGGCCGAACGAGAGGGAGAGAGAAAGGGGCTGAAAGAGAAGAAGAGACACGGCAGAGAGCCGAGCTGCAGGGCTACGGCGCGGCGCCTCTGTTGAACATGTCTGGAAACCCCCCTTGCCCGCCAAACTGTCAACTGTTGTGTAGATTAGATACCCCCCCGGAATGAACATGAAAATTCAAGCACGACTCGTCCGACTGGCAGTATGCAGTCACAAGTTCAGCAAGTTTGTTGATTGGCAGCATCCAGAGGGGTAAGCATGAGTGAAGTAGACGTGCAAGTTCTGTCGGGTCATTCTCAACCCGCCCACGCCCATCGCGCACGTTGCAATGCATTCATCGATTGCTCATCAGTTCTCACAACGATATATCTACCACTCATTTCGTCCCCTCGAGCTTTGATATCTAGAGAAGAATTAAAACCAAAAAGATCCAAAAAAAAAATGGGCGAAAATGACAATGGCGACATCCCATCAGGAAACAAAACTCCAATGGGAAAAGTCCCCAGCCTGAAAATCTGGCCACTGACGGCGTTCTTTTTCCCCCTTTTCCTTCTGACATCTCTCTACTGTGCCTATCTGTCCGTCTGTCCTAGTACTCCACATCCTCCTTGGCGCATGGTCTGAACTTGCCCTCCTCCACGACGTACGCCCCGGGCTTCCCAGTAGCCACCAGTTCAGCGAGAGCCGGGTTCCGCCTGACGACGAGGTCATCTGGGCCCTTGACGATGATCAGGTTGCGCAGACCGCCGCGCGCCTCGCCGTACAGTTTGATGAAGACCTTGCGGACAGTCTCGTCGTCGGCGCCAGAGGGATCTCGTACGACGATATATGTGCGACCGCCGAGGCGGGAGCTGACCACACCGGAAAGGAGTCCGGGGAATAGCCAGGGGTACTGCAGGATCTCGGCCTCAAAGGCGTTGAGCGTCTCGCGAGCCAGCGCGGTGTAGGTTTCGGTGGCGAGAGCGACACCGAGGCGGAAGAGGTTGGACACGGAGACGGCGTTGTTGGAGGGGAAGGCGGTGTCCATGCCATCCTTGAGGCGGAGAATGGTGTGCTTTGCATCTTCGGTCGTAGCGAAGAAGGCGCCGCACGACGAGTGAGCCGGTAGAGGGTTGGGGCTGGCCGAAGTTGTTGGAGCCGAGGCGTCATAGAAGAGCTTGATCTGTGTTTCTGTACCACAAAAGTCAGCAGCGATCTATGGCTTCAAGTACGCACATTTCCGAACTCACGTTGAAGCTCGTCGGCAAACGCAATGCAGTTTTCCTCGCCTGTGGCCTCGTACAAGTCGATGAGGCCCTCGATCAGGTACGCATAGTCCTCGGCAAAGGCCTTTGTAGAGCCCCGAGTGCCGCGGAACACCTTGTACAGCGTTTTCTCTTGTTCGTCCCACAGCTGTGCCCGCACAAATTCAGCAGACTGGATGGCAGCACCCAGGTACTGAGCGCTCTTCGCGGCGTCCTTGACTGCCAGCGCAGCGCCTGTCCTTGCGAGCGCAGAGATGACGAGGCCGTTCCAACCAGAAATAATCTTATCATCAAGCTCAGGGCGGACGCGTTCCCGACCACGATGCGCCTTGAGCTTGGCTTTCGCCGACGCAATGACACGAGCGACTTCCTCCCCGCTGATGCCAAATTGCTTGCCGATTTCGCTCTGCTCTTTCAGCACGCGGGGGATGTTCTGGTTCATAAACTCGTCGTTCGGATCTTGGTCGGGCTCCACGTTGCCGTGCTCCAGAATGTTCCAGTACGTAGCGGCAATCGTCGCCTCATGCTCGTCGCCAATCACAGCATCAAACTCTTTGCGCGTCCACAGGTGGAAAGCGCCCTCGCGAACATCAGTGTCGCCACGCCTGTAATAGGAGTCGGCGGCCTCACTGGAAGCAAAACCGCCTCCGGGAAGACGCATCGGCGGGCTCGAAAAATAGTCCGCGAGCTCAACGACGACATCATAGAGTTCACCATCCTTGTCTCCGTTGCTAATAAGCCAGGCATCAAGATACAGGCCCAGCAGGAGAGCATTGTCCGAAGTTAGCTTTTCAAAGTGGGGAATGCTCCAGTCCGGAGTGATGGAGTATCTCGCGAAACCGCAGCCACCAACATGGTCACGCAGGCCGCTGTCACGGATCTTTCGAAGGGTGAACAAGGCCATTTCTGTGGCGTGTGCACATTCGGTCGGGCCCACGACATCCTGGACCGGATGCAGGTAATGCGGCAAGCGCAGCAAGAAGGACAGTTTCGCGGGCACAGGGAACTTGGGCGCCAGACCGAAGCCACCATAGACCGGATCAAAGGTGCCAGCAATGTGGGAGTAGGCCTCTTCGAGCTGGTCGAGATCGAGTTCGCTCGAAACATCAGCGGCCGTCTTGCCAGCACCCGGATTCTCCGTCGATACAGCCGAAGCGACAGGGGCGGTAGACGAGGATGTCAGGCCGATCTTGCTCATCTGGACCGTGCTACGTGTGCCCAGTGTGCCCTCGGCGGCGAACTCGCGCAGCTTGGAGAGGACCTCCTTGGCTTCCTGGCGGCACCGAGGCTCCTGTTCCTGCCAGACTTTCCTCAGGTTCTTGAGGATGGCCAGAAAGTCAACACCCTCCTCTTCTTCGGGCCCCGTCTTGGTATGTGCGCCTGGACCAGGCCAGTAGGTGCCGCCAAAGACTGGTTCGAGCTCGGGTGTCAGGAAGAGGTTGAGGGGCCAGCCGCCTGCGCCGTTGACGGCCTGGACATAGTTCATGTAGATGGTATCGAGATCGGGTCGCTCTTCGCGGTCAACAATGACAGGCACAAAGGCCTCGTTGAGGAGCGAGGCACATTCGGGATGGGAAAAGGAGTCGATGGCTGTCAGGCGGCAGTCTATCGAAAAGTCAGAAGTGGGGTCCTGGGCGATGCGCTGCTGCGTGTATTTGACACACACACGCTCTCTCTCTCTCTCTCTTCATCTCCCTTCCTCGCTCTCTCTCTTAGCCTGTCAGGCACTGACGAGGTCGACAAGGACGCTGCGAGAGGATGATTTGGGAGGGAAGCCGAACTGCAAAGACCAGCATGCTCAGCTGCGGCAGAAGGCAGGGAGGGATGGGATGGGATGGTGGGGGTCGAGCACGCACAGTGGCAAGCCTTGAAGCCAATGTTCAGGAAGATCAGTTTGTTCTCCCTCTTGGCGCGTTCGACAGCCTCATCGTCGAGCAGCTGCCAGGCGACAGGGCTGTTGATCTGGCCTTGTATGTAAGGACTGTTGCTCTGGTCGGCGCGGTTGCGTAGGCTCGGAGCCAGTTCCGGGGCGGCGACAGGCTGGGGCGGCAGGTCGGTCGAGTTCGTGGCCATGGCTTCAGATCCGAGTTTGGCAGACAGAGCAGACTGCGACAGCTCGGAGGGGATCATCGCGCAAGAAACACGCGAAGGGGTTCGAGGGGCGACGGCGGGCGGGCGGGGGGAGGGTAGCGGGGGTATCAAGATCTTGTTTCGATTCGGAGTTCGGTGCGTCAGTTCGGCCCAGTCCAGCTAAGAACGGAACAGACCAGCACAAAGCAGGTCAGAGTAGACAGTAGCGAGGCAAAGAAGCGGCCGGCCGGGACAGGACTAGCAGATTGTTCGGTAGTGGTAGGTAGTGGATGAGGTGGGGGTGAGAGAAAGAGCGGCAGCGGCAGGTCGGCAGGTCGGAGGACACGCGAGTCATGTAGATGACGGAAGAGGGGTGAGGAGAGAGGCGTCGATTTCAATGGCGAAGTAAGGCCAAAAAAAAAGGGCTGAAGGGCTGAAGGATGAAAGGGTCCGCTACGGAGGAAATTGAGATGATTAAACAACAATAGAAAACGGGCCTGATGGGATGGGATCTGCCTTGCAGCCCAATGCAGAAGAGAGCCATTTCCTTGTTTAGGCAAGGCCAGGATGAGAAATTCAAAGTCCTTCCCTCCACCCCTCTCCAGTGGTACAGTAGGAGGTTTTAGTGGAGGAGCGTGATAGTGATAATCCAGCTTGGTTGCTACATCTGTACAGTCATGTGCACATAGAGACTCTGCGACCCAGTAATCATTTCGAAACAATCCGACGCGCGTTGGCACAGATTATGAGGAGAGGAAGGAGAGGGAGAGGCACGAGAAATAAATGCATGATTCAAAGGTCATCGGAGCACACTATACAACGACACACTGACAGTCCGACTGATGTGACATCGTCCCGAAGGCCAGGGAAGGGGACGGACGAGAAAAAAGATCAAGGGTCCATGCTGCACCGTCCAGTGGCACGCAGAGGCAGCAGTATGCCAGCGGTGTCGACATGTGTAGTGTCGTAATGGCTGATTCCCGTGATCGCTGTCGTGACTGTCAGTGGTGCTGCTGCTGGGCACTGCTCGATTGACAGCAGCAGTACCACTGGGGGGGCGGGGGCGTTACACTGGGGTGGATGCTTCCACTGACATGGCAGCGACCAGGGCACTGATGGCAGTACCATGACAGGCCGAATGACGAGGTGCTCCAAGCGCAGCCCCTCCATGACCCCACCACAGTCCCGCCTAGGCCCCACCTTCCCTGGATTCCGGGTCCTGTTGCTGTGCTGCATTCATCAAGGCAATGACGCGCTAGACAGCATCGAGGGAAAGAGCTGCCCCGCCTTCGGCATCATTGTACTCTTCTCAAGTCACGTGACGGCGCGAGAGGCCCCGACGCGGTGCAATATCAAGCTTCAATGATGATCGTGAGTGAACATGGTGGGGAGCCTCGTCTTCAAGTCATCTTCACACCCCTTTTCGAACCTCCTCACCCCTTTAGCTTGCCGTATTGCCTTTGCCATCTTCTATCCCCTCCGATTCTGAACCCAGCACCGACGGGCTACCGTCGCCACCTTCTGCACGTGTCGCCGCCTCACGCGCCAGTCGCATCTCGAGGTCAGGATTCCTCTGCTTCCATCGCTTCATGTACCATATGCCGAACATCAGGATCGCCCACATGATAAACTCGAAGACTGTTGCAGCAGGGTACCCGTTGGGAAACCGCGGCGCCTCGACCGTCGGGAACGTGAACAGTGGGATCCAGATCTGGTTACAGAAGCCCAGCGTCATCATGGACGATATGATCAGTCCGCGCTCGCCGTAGTTTTCCTTGAGGGTAAAATTGACCCACGAATACTGTCTCGGTCAGCTTGATCGCTCGCCCGGTTTTGTATCAGGCGAAACTGCTCACCAGGATGGGAGACGCCATGCCAGAGAAGCCGCCAAAGTAGAAGGCGCAGAACTTAAGCACATCGGGCACGTTCCAGACGGATAGCACGATGAGCGCAAAGAACACAAAGGACTAGCAGGCATGTCAGCAATCTCAGACGCCTACGTCGCACTTCGTCGGTCGCCACTCACAGCCTGAAATGACCAGAGCCCCCTGAGGCTGAGGCAGCCCGCCAGCGTAGTCCCTAGCCATGACGACAGAGCCCGCAGCAGATCGATAAAGGTCGGCAGGATATTGACCAGCTCGATCGAGTAGCCGGCGTGACGCAACCACAGCGCCATGTAACCGGTCCAGTAATGTGCCTGGCATAGCATGCTGTCGATCATGTATTAGCCCGAATCTTGTGTGACGTGCACCAGGAACCTCACATGTAACACGGCACGCATATCCACCACATTGGCCGTGACAGAGTGTACTTGAATGTCTTCCAGGTGATTCCCTCGTTCTCAACGGTCGGGATCCGCTTGACGGCCAACGCGTGGTCCTCCGCCGTGAAGAACCACCGTCTTGGCGAGCTCGGCAGTCCGGGCCAGAATGCAAACCCCAGGAATGCTAACGGCAACGTAATGATGCCCTGCACGATGAACAGCCAACGCCAGCCCGCCCTGCCGTATACTCCGTCGAGATTTCGATAGGCCGCGGCCTGGAGGTAACCCGAAAACATGGACCCGAGAGAGTTGCCCATGAACCAGACGCCGGCGCGCTTGAAGAGTTCTTCGTTTTTAAACCAGCTGCCGACTGTGGCGCGTAAGTCAAGCTATGGGCCCGAAGAGACAGAAGTGCTTACGAATCAGATGAGTGCCGCCGAAGGAGGAGGCTTCGAGGAAGCCGGTGATGGCGCGTAGGATGTAGAGATGCCAACTATGTTTGATCTCGGACTGGCAAAACGCGACGACGGCCCAGACAATCTGCAGCGATGGAAGGAGAAATGGAGCACTGTCTAGCGTAAGCATTCAGCAATCTCCCAGGGTTCTCGGACTCCATCGTACATCTTTGCCTTGGTCTGGAGAGTCATCAGTGGGATCTGGCCCAGGACGTAGGCCGTGTTATCTTGGCTCTGGTCAATCTCTTTGAGCGTCATTGTGCACATCAAGGGAAGACCTACAAGCAACGACATAGTAGTTCAACTCATTGCCAAAAGCGCCTAGATCTTCGCGCATGCCCGAAACATAGGCATTGGTGATATTTTGCTGTCCGAGGAACTGGTGTCCTGTAAGCCGTGAGAACGTCTCGTACAGTCAAGGGCGTCAAAACCAACCCGGCAGAAGACTAGGCCACATGTCAGTACATCAAGCAGAAGACTTAATGTCATGATAATGACTCACAACTAAGGCATCCAAAGACAAGTATGGAGAGATCAAGCTTTCGAAGCAGCCTTCTCTCCTCGACAGGGTAGTGGGACGCTATCGCGATCAGCGCCTGGAACAGCGAGTAGAGGCCATGACAGCAGCGAACATACGATACCAGTCGAAAACGGACCAAACCACACCACCCACTTTGTTGCCCTTGATGGCAGATTTGATGGCCCCCATGCTTGAATCGACTTTGACGCTTGTCAGAGAGCAAAATACCGTTGCGTCATCATCTGGCATGACAATCAGAAGCCTCTCAGACCTATTCGAGCTTATATGATCCCGCCTCGTCAGGCTCAGGGCCGCCAGGAGAAGATTTCAGACTCCAATCGGCAGCAAGACCGACTTCCGGCTGGACACTCGCAATCGCAGAGCCGATGGTGAAATACGTCGCGGCCCAGACCCCCCAAAGGATCGCCCAAACGGAAGACCCTGATTCTGACCAAGGACGAAAGGGCCAGGATCTGCAGGCGCAGTGTAGGTGCAGGCTTGCCCATCACCACTGGCTCCGAACCCGGCGCTGCGACGGGGTGGCGTCTTTTGCAACGCTGACATGCGGTGCGACGGCAGCGCTGGTGCCGGTGCGGCAGAGCCCGGGGTCTGGGTGTGGCGGTCGGCGAGCGGAGGGGCGGAGCCGATGGGTTGCACAATCCGATACCAGATGACGAATGCGGGGATCAATTGGTGAATCGTCCAAACACATGGATGGACGGGAGGCACATCACGGAGAAACGCTGGAGATACGAGATCACGACATTGTCCTGCTGTTGCATCGGTGGAGGTCCGGTGTTGGTGGTGTTGTGGGTGGTTCGCGGTGTTCGAGGCGCTGCCGATGGCCGGTTCGGAGAGGCGTGTTGCGATTGATAATCAGGAATCGATTCGATAAAGATAGGACGTATGAGATCTGTGAGTTGGGCATGGCACTTTTTATGTTTTCATCATTCATTGATGGTATTCTGGCATCGCGATCAAGCCTATTGATTCTTCAAAATGCCGTCCGCCGTTCCTCAACTGTACGAATACACCCACGTCTCGGAGACGCAGGAGGACCTGGACTGGGCCGACCGTGAGTTCTCACTTGACGCAATCAGAAATTTCAAAGGTCACTAACACGGGACATCGCGCAGTTGCGACGATTGACCTCGCGAAGTATGGCACACCCGAAGGCAATGCGGAGCTCGTCAAGACGCTCCTCGAGGCCATCCGTACAAAGGGCTTCTTCTACGTCACCAACTTTGGCATTCCGCAGGAAGCAGTCGACCGGCAATTTGCCCTCGGCCAGCGTTTTTATGAACTTCCCCTCGAAGAGAAGCTCGAATACGAACCGGACCTGGACTCGGGTGATTACAATGGGTACCGACCTGCGGGTAGGCGGCTCCTCAGCGGTGGCATCTACGATAAGACGGAAGTCTGGAACATGGCAAGTAAGTCTTGCGCTGCGACTGCGACACGCAGATTAGGACGCTGACCAGTTGATAGCTAAATCCGGTCACATCACGCAGCCTGTGCCCAAGCTCCTCGAAGAGCGCCTTGACGAGATTGACGCCTTTGCCAAGGACCTCCACGACAAGGTCCTCGACCCGCTGAACCACCTCATTGCCCTGGCGCTCGAGCTCCCGGAAGACTTCTTCACGAAGGTGCACAGGTGGGAAACGCACGACGAATCCCATTTGCGGTACATGAAGTACGCGAAATTCTCACAGGCAGAGATTGACCAGCTCGGCGACGGGCTCTGGTCGAGGGGCCACACGGACCTGGGCACCATCACGTTGCTGTTCCGGCAGCCGGTGGCGGCGCTGCAGATCCGTGACCACGAGTCTGGCCAGTGGAAGTGGGCGAAGCCGCTCGACGGCAGTCTGACCGTCAACACGTGTGATGCGCTGAGCTTCCTGACAGGCGGGTACATCAGGTCGACAGTTCACCGGGTGGGTGCTTTGGCCAGAGCATCTTGGCGTTACATGCTAACTTTTGAAATACAAGGTCTCTGTGCCGCCAAAGGACCAGCGGCACGTCGACCGTCTGGGGCTGCTATATTTTGCGCGGCCGCAAAACGATCTCATCCTCAAAACGATTGACTCGCCTGTACTCAAGCGTGAGGGCTTCACGCGGAACGAGTTTGAAGCAGGCGGCCACCCCGTGCCGACGATGGGAGAATTTACGACGCTGAAGCAAAAGTGGCAGCAGAAGAAGGGGACGAGCTACGAGACGTCAGAAGGCCAGCAGATCTTGCCTGGTTTTGCGGGCCAGTACTTTGCCTAAGGGAAACAGGGAGTCCTCCATTTTTAGTCAGAACCTTTTTGAGTGCCCCTGGTTCCGTGTCTTTCAAGTAATGAAAACTCCGAAAGTCGAATTTTGAGACAGGAGTAGTAAGCCATGATCAATCGAGATCGCCGGGGGTCACCCGGATTCTGGAACCTCTGTTAATCAGATGATGTAGCGTGTAGGCCGTAGACACGCCAAGCCAGCCAGACCCCTCAGAGCAATGCACGGAGCTTTCACTCCGGCGGTGGATGTAGGGATGCCCACAGCACATGGGCACTCTTCTCAGTTGCCATCGCGATGCTGGTTACTGCTGACCCGCCCATGACGTTACGCTCTCCACGGTAGTCGCCCAACCTCACGATGCCGCAAAGTTTCTTGGCCTCTGAAGAATTGGAGAACGAATTGCTCATGACGTCAATGTCACTGACGGCGGTCGGCATCTGGAGTCCTTTTAAAATGCAGCGTCAGCTTCTTCTCAGCGGATCTTTCGCAGCCATTCATCAACATTCAAGTATCTATCCCATATCGAACCCCATATATATCACGGCTCTCGTCTTTAACTAGTCTTTAAAGGACACACTGCCAAAAATGCCTCGCCAGGGAGAAGGTCATATTGCCGATAACGCCGTTGAGAACGGCCAAAACATCATTCACGGCGCTGGTGAAGTCAAGGTAAAGCCTGCCTTCCAGCATCAGTCGAACACATGGCCCGCACTAACGATCGTAGGACTCACATGTTGCCCGTGCAGACAAGACTGCGCCCATGCCTGAGCATGAGAAGGGTGCCGGTATCCAGGGCCTGAACGCCAGCGGCGGTCAGAGCCAAGGGCTTGCGAAGGGGGATAATGTCGGTCAGGGAGGTCGTTCTTCTTGATCTCTTGGAAATTGTGTATACAACCAGCACTTGGGGGAAAGTTCGATTGGGGGCGGATAGGTTACAGTGAATATGAGTAGCGAATGGAATTTTCTCTTTACCCTCCATCCATGCCCTTGATCACTGTTAGTATCATCCCAAACTTCACGCCACTGGAAAGACTAGTCAAGACGCAAGCAGATTATACCGGGACACCGTAGCATTCGTTCACAGTGACCGCTGTCTGCCATGCATAATACTTTATATCACTTAGCTATTTATCAAATATAGTTCCCTGTCCTCTGTATTGCATGCTTATTTCACGTTCCTTGTGTATCTTGTTGGGCTCAACCCACTTCATTTCATCACTCTCTTCTCATTCATCAACTCTAGGTATGCCCGACTGATACATTTTCTACCTCATGCTACCTATTCATGAATCTAAAGCAACCAGATCCCAAGAGAAGTGTATTAAATCTAGTGAGTAAAGTACTGAAGCGTTGCACAAGCACTCTCAAGACCAGACTATCCTCGATTACCTTAAGACCGCCTGCTTGAGCTGTAGGAATGTGCTTTGACTGCAGCACCATTATGTAGTTGTTGCAAGATGAAGACTATGACCTGATGTACTCATGCATTTAACTTTCGTGCGATCTGTCTACTAGCTTAGCAACGTTTTGTTCGAGACCTTGATGTCTCTATTGATACTTGTTGCGAGCTGCCCATTCTTCAAGTCAGAGTCGATTTCAGCTTCTGGCCCCATTCCTAGTCTCACGAGTTGGACATTGGCACTCGAGTGCCGAGGGAGATCTTCCTTCAGCCACCTCAAAACACTGGGAGCATTCAATCCCACGCCCAGCTCTAATTTGACGGTTCTTTTTGCTCTGTGTCCGACATGTGATCGGAATCGATCCAACGTCTCCTCGCCAGCTTCGAAAGGCGCCCAATTGAACCGTGACCCAACCCGCACGCAGATGGACGTCCTTCCCTCGCAGTATTGGCATCGTGGTCCTTGACTGAAATCCGTAAGCTGTTGCGAAGAGGCATTTAAGTGCCGGACAGCTGCCAGCTGAAGTGGTTTTGAGGGCATCGTTGCTTCAGGCCGGCAATAAGCAAGACGTTGAAGTACGGTATACGACCCCTGAGGCCTGGAGAGACTTTCTGCAGGCCAGCCATGGGCGAGAATCAGGCCATCGGCATTCGAAGTCCTGATATAAACCCTGACACCGGACCTGCGTAATCAGGACAGGAGCCCGTCATGAAGCTCCGATCGCGGTCAGTTCTTGACCAAGCCGAGGCGGGTGAAAAAGTAGCCCCAGCGGTCCTGTTCGGAAGACCAACCATCAAACCCAAATACGCCATACATTGTTCACAGACCATGCCTCTTCTTGAAGGAAAGATACGAGAGAACAGGGTCCTATAATTGTAACCCAAGCCTGCAGCTGCAAAAAGCTCGGCGTCAACACTGACCGAGATGGTGTCCGCTGAAGCGAGCCAACCTCAGGCTGTTTCGATGGAATGACACTCGATCTGAGGCGCTGGCAACATTTCGCAAGGTAGAAGTTATGCCGCCCACCCATCCTGTAGAGGTTTGAACGTCTCCAGGCAAATTCGTCAGCATCCGTAAAGACTTCAAAGATGAAATCCGTGACCGTAGTGTCAGGATGCCGCATAAACCACTGACAAACCTCGTAAACGGCAATTTTTGTATTAAGGGAAGATGGGAATGAGAAGAGACCTGTAGATGCAGCAGGAACCAATGATTTTGCGCCCAGAGTCCAGCACAGGTAGAGTCTTAACGGCCTCGAGTGCAAAATTGCAGCACGCAGCCAGTTGATCCCTCTCACTGGTGATAGGTTTTGACTGCGGTGCAAGTTGGGGTCCAACAGCGTGCACAACATGCCGAGACGGCAGGCAGTAACCCTTGATGGCGATGCTCTCGCCGAGAGTCAAGTCAGTGAGCCGTCCATTCATGGCTTGGCGGCACTCGTCGCGCAGTCGAGGAATGGCTGTTGCATGAATAACGTTCTCGATACATCAGTGTGACGGCTGGAAGCATCCAAGCCCCTGTTCATTCGCTGGGTTGACGATTGCGTTCCCATCAATGAGGGTCCTCATGTCGTCGCGCCAGAGGGCTATCTTTGTTGAGACCGGATTATTGAGGAATGCGACGGCTGGAATAGCGTTAGCCAGCTTGAGAACCCTAGTACCTCTTTCTGCGATGAGCATATCGCCGATTCAATCGAGTATGTGTTGCGGTAGTTTTGTTTCTGATGTCCGGATGCACAGCAATTCTTGCAAGCTGCGGAGCTGGGCCGAACGCTCAAGGTGCTTTTAGTGATATTTGAGCTGGTCATACTGGTGCTTGTGGTGGCCACATTGACGAGCCTGTGGCTTGCTTGGCCGCCGGGAGAGTTCATGGAGAAGGTATGACTGCTCTTTCCAGGTCTGTCATGATGAAGGCGTTGCTTATGTGGATGAATAGAGGAGCGTTGTGGTTGTTGCGGCAGAAGCATCATTTTTCATGCCTTGCTACCCCGTGTTCGCCACTCACGCCTGTAATGTTAAGGCCATACGATTGATGACCAGTACGATCCTGAACAAACCAACGCTTACTTAGATATACTTTCGTCAAAAGCTAGTTGCGTATGACTGTCTACCATACACTTCAACTCAGGTAGGTGACCTTGATCTGTGTCTCCAAATCCTGCGGGACCAAATTATTTCGCTCCTCCATGAAGGTGGGGTTGAACCTCAGCAGCCGGAATCAAAATGCGACGAGCAGCCGAAACTACAAACAGGCCCTCAATAAAATGCTGCCTGTCAGTTCAATAAGTAGATGCACAAAGAGTCAAAAAACGTTCAAACCATGTAACGTGATCGACTCATCCCATTAATTGAACTTTTGGCAGTCCCTAGCGAACAGAGGGGTGGCATGGACTGAGCGCTTGGAGTTTCGGGGCCGTGGTCGACATGGAACTTGACAAGACAGCGATGGTCTTCGATTGTGCGGAACACATTTAGGTGACAGGCGTGCGGCGTAACCGTGCCGTTGTAGTCGAATATTCGTTCGCTGAAGTTCATGGCATGATTGCGTCCAGACATGTGAGCACCCGCTTGCTCAAAGTGATTAATGACCAGCTGTGGTCGTTCTGAGATAGCAGCGATGACGTCCCAGTATGAGCAGCACCTCTTCGTAAAATGTTGCCGTGTTGGGTTTGAATGCAACGTTAGTATCATTATGACAGTGAATGGAGTGGAAGTACGCGTGTTTAATGGGCATGTTGACTTTTTACAGTTTTTACATTAATACCATTTCAGCCGCAACTTTCGATTCAAAGGGGCATTTTACGTCATGAAGGATTGCCATGTCGGGATGCCTCCCCTTGAACAGTATACATCTCCGCGAACCAGTCCATGATCGACGACGGACTCCGGGTTTGGGGGCCAGGATGCTACTATATGAGGGGAGACCTCCAACTGTGTCTCACCATGCGTCATACTGTATCACAATTCTTGGGACTAGTTATCATGGAGTTGCATATTTTCCACAACCAACGTTCCGCCGACATGGCTTGGTCCCATGAATGGTTTGTGATCCGTCAGCGCATTCTGCTGCCAATGTTGTTTTGGGGGCTATGATGGGGCTTCGTTTAGCGCGAAGGATTGTGACCGACGATCGAAGGGCAGTGCCGTACTTGAATTTAGATTCCAGCCTGGGCAGACGTCAATGGCCTCAGTATTGCTTTTAAACGCACACAGAATTCGCTATATAATGCTGAGATCACTCCCTGCTCTGAGACCTAGGACTTCGATACAGCAACCGCACAATAAGCAACACCACCAATAAAACAATCACCGTTACCTTTACCACCGTCACCATCACAACTATACCTTCCACCAAAACCATCTCAGCAATTCTCAGACCATCATGCATTTTCAGCAACTTACATCCTTCCTGCTCACCTCTGCCGCTATCGCAAGCGCAAAGCCTTTGGCAAGCGTCTCGCGGCGCGATGACCACCCTGTCGACTTCAAGCAAGCTTGTGAGAAGAATCAGCCGCCGAAAGGCAACTGTGTTTTTGTCATCGCCGGCGGAACCACCCTGGAATGGAGTGGCACCAATCTTGGCAATGGTGAAGCCGATCGAGTCGCCGTGGTAACTGATTCAAACTGCAAAACACTCGCAATTAAGGAATGGGAGCCAACAAGTCCTGGATTCCACGTTGTGTTCGACGATCCCAAGGTGCCCAAGAGCGGCGACCTCCATGCTAGTACCAGCTACATTGGTTCGGATGGCGTGTCCGAACCAGACTGGCTCAGACTTGACGGCAATGATGTGCCTGGATGGGACTGTGGAGAAAGGCAGAATGAGTTGGGTGGATTTCTGGGAGTGGAGGGTGGCTACTGGAAGGCTTGTAACTTCCCGTGTACTCAGGAGGCGTGGGACAACTGGGATTAAGCATACACCGTAACAATGATATCTGGGTTGTCTCTCATCGGCAATAGCTATTCAAGATAAAGAGAAGTTGATCTTGCTTATCCAATTGAGACCATGGGGCTTACAACCTAATGATGTTTATCACAAGGTATGGTTTTGATCCGGAAATAGAACGGACAAGAACGCAGAATTTCAGAGGGTAACATGAAACCTGAAGCAGGAGAGGGAGTCAGCGGAATCCAAGAACTAGGGCAACATAGGGCCGCCATTTCTTCAGACCTGCAGATTTTCATAGTGTGACACACCAACCGTGCAAGGTTTGTTGATCTTTCTCATGGGTACTATTTCGCCAGATTTATAGAGAAAACATCATGAAAAAGCTGCGCACCGCAAACAAGGGATATTCGGTTCTCATCACGACACTGTACATGCTCATGTCGAATCAGCCTCACGACGAGTGAACGACAAACAAATCTTTATCTATTGGGGTGTGTTCAGCAAGGGGAATAAGTGATGTTATTCAAATATGTAGCCCACTGACCTCTCTTGCAACCAAATTCCTCAATATGCTAGAGCCCTT